ATAACACATATGGAATCATGTAGTAACCAAAAAAGTGTTAAACAAATATTTATATTTCAGATTCTTCAAATATCCACCCTTTGCCTTGATGACAGCTTTGCACACTCTTGGCATTCTCTAAACCAGCTTCATGAGGTAGTCACCTGGAATGCATTTCAATTAACAGGTGTGCCTTCTTAATGCGTTTGAGCCAATCAGTTGTGTTGTGACAAGGTAGGGGGGTATACAGAAGATAGCCCTATTCGGTAAAAGACCAAGTCCATATTATGGCAAGAACAGCTCAAATAAGCAAAGAGAAAAGACAGTCCATCATTACTTTAAGACATGAAGGTCAGTCAATACGGAAAGTTTCAAGAACTTTGAAAGTTTCTTCAAGTGCAGTCGCAAAAACCATCAAGCGCTATGATGAAACTGGCTCTCATGAGGACCGCCACAGGAATGGAAAACCCAGAGTTCATCAGAGTTACCAGCCTCAGAAATTGCAGCCCAAATAAATGCTTCACACAGTTCAAGTAAAAGACACATCTCAACATCAACTATCCAGAGGAGACTGTGTGAATCAGGCCTTCATGGTCGAATTGCTGCAAAGAAACCATTACTAAAGGACACCAATAAGAGGAAGAGACTTGCTTGGGCCAAGAAACACGAGCAATGGACATTAGACTGGTGGAAATTTCTCCTTTGGTCTGGAGTCCAAATTGGAGATTTCTGGCTCCAACCGCCGTGTCTTTGTGAGACGCGGTGTGGGTGAACAGATGATCTCTGCATGTGTATTTCCCACCGTAAAGCATGGAGGAGGAGGGGGTGCTTTGCTGGTGACACTGTCTGTGATTTATTTAGAATTCAAGGCACACTTAACCAGCATGGCTACCACAGCATTCTGCAGCAATACGCCATCCCATCTGGTTTGGGCTTAGTGGGACTATCATTTGTTTTTCAACAGGACAATGACCCAACACACCTCCAGGCTGTGTAAGGGCTATTTTACCAAGAAGGAGAGTGATGGAGTGCTGCATCAGATGACCTGACCTCCACAATCCCCCGACCTCAACCAAATTGAGATGGTTTGGGATGAGTCGGACCGCAGAGTGAAGGAAAAGCAGCCAACAAGTGCTCAGCATATGTGGGAACTCCTTCAAGACTGTTGGAAAAGCATTCCAGGTGATGCTGGTTGAGAGAATGCCAAGAGTGTGCAAAGCTGTCATCAAGGCAAAGGGTGGCTATTTGAAGAATCTTGTCATTTGTTTAACACTTTTTGGTTACTACATGATTCCATATGTGTTATTTCATAGTTTTGATGTCTTCACTATTATTCTACAATGTAGAAAATAGTAAAAATAAAGAAAAACCCTTGAATGAGTAGGTGTTCTAAAACCTTTGACCGGTAGTGTGTGTATATGTACAGTATATATATATATATATATATATATATATATATATATATATATATATATATATATATACATACATACACACACAACAATAGACAATATAATGATAACATTACATCATAGTTTAAATGTCCCTTGTTCCTACAGTATCTGACATCTTAAGAGTGTGAATATCTTAATGTCCACATGGCTGGTTTGCCTTTAGCCACTTTTCCAGGTTTGCCTTGAATCTAGCCAAGGTATTGCACTCTGTCTTCCTGGTTGGCAGGGGGTTCCATAATCCAGACGCTCTGACTGAAGAAGCTGTCTGGCCAAATTTGGTGGATCTAAACTGAGTTGAGCAGTCTCCTCTGGTTGAAGCGCTTGTCCTCCTGGTATTGTCCTTGCAATATGTAACAAATTGCTTAAGAGGTGGTGGGGCAAGGTCATGAGTGATCTTAAACAGCAGAGAGGTGTCGGCAAGGCATAAGAACCTGTCAAAGCTCAGTAGGTTGTATTTCTTAATGATATTGCTGTCATGGTGATAGGTGTTCGTAATGATATTGCTGTCATGGTGAAAGGTGTTTGGTTTGTTGTCCAGAACTTTCAGAGTTTGTTTCTAAAGCTTTTGAAGTGGTTTCGTAGCTGTGATACTAGCTTGTGACCAGGTTGTGACACAGTACGAGAGATGGGACAAAATCATTGAGTGCATGTACAGCTAGCAGCATCTGTTGACGTTTGGTTTCTGATAAATGTGAAATTATTATTTGACTGTTTCATTTACTTTTTATATTTGTTTTTTGAAGGACAGGTTAGAGTCAATAATTATTATTAAGTATTTAAAATGTGACACCATCTCGATCCTCTGTCCCTTAACAGTTCCCTCAGGCTGATGGTCTCACTGTTCCTGATGGAGAAATACATGCAGACAGTTTTTGTTAGGTTCAATGTAGAGTAGTCCAACCAGTCAGCTATTTTGTCCATTGCTGCTGTAAATTTACGAGTAGCCTGTTGCTTTGTCTTGGCATGTACATAGACGACTGTGTCGTCTGCATACATCAGCATTTACAGTTGAAGTCGGAAGTTGACATATACCTTAGCCAAATACATTTAAACTCAGTTTTTCACAATTCCTGACATTTAATCCTAGTAAAAATTCACTGTCTTAGGTCAGTTAGGATCACCACTTTATTTTAAGAATGTGAAATGTCAGAATAATAGTAGAGAGAATGATTTATTTCAGGTTTTATTTATTTCATCACATTCCCAGTGGGTCAGAAGTTTACATACATTCAATTAGTATTTGGTAGCATTGCCTTTAAATTGTTTAACTTGGGTCAAACGTTTCGGGTAGCCTTCCACACGCTTCCCACAATAAGTTGGGTGAATTTTGCCCCATTCCTCCTGACAGAGCTGGTGTAACTGAGTCAGGTTTGTAGGCCTCCTTGCTCGCACATGCTTTTTCAGTTCTGCCCACTAATTTTCTATAGGATTGAGGTCAGGGCTTTGGTGATGGCCACTCCAATACCTTGACTTTTGCCACAACTTTGGAAGTATGCTTGGGTTCATTGTCCAATTTGGAAGACCCATTTGCGACAAAGCTTTAACTTCCTGACTGATGTCTTGAGATGTTGCTTCAATATATCCACATAATTTTCCTTCCTCATGATGCCATCTATTTTGTGAAGTGCACCAGTCCCTCCTGCAGCAAAGCACCCCCACAGCATGATGCTGCCACCCCCGTGCTTCACAGTTGGGATGGTGTTCTTTGGCTTGCAAGCTTTCCCCTTTTTCCTCCAAACATAACAGTTATATTTTTGTTTCATCAGACCAGAGGACATTTCTCCAAAAGGTATGATCTTTGTCCCCATGTGCAGTTGCAAACCGTAGTCTGGCTTTTTTATGGCGGTTTTGGAGCAGTGGCTTCTTCCTTGCTGAGCGGCCATTCAGGTTATGTCGATATAGGACTTGTTTTTACTGTGGATATAGATACTTTTGTACCTGTTTCCTCCAGAATCTTCACAGGGTCCTTTGCTGTTGTTCTGGGATTGATTTGCACTTTTCACACCAAAATACGTTCATCTCTAGGAGACAGAACGCATCTCCTTCCTGAGCGGTATGACGGCTGCGTGGTCCCATGGTATTTATACTTGCGTACTATTGTTTGTACCGATGAATGTGGTACCTTCAGGCATTTGGAAATTGCTCCCAATCTTTTTTCTGATGTCTTGGCTGATTTCTTTTGATTTTCCCATGATGTCAAGCAAAGAGGCACTGAGTTTGAAGGTAGGCCTTGAAATACATCCACAGGTACACCTCCAATTGACTCAAATTATGTCAATTAGCCTATCAGAAGCTTCTAAAGCCATGACATCATTTTCTGGAATTTTCCAAGCTGTTTTAAGGCACGGTCAACTTAGTGTATGTAAACTTCTGACCCACTGGAATTGTGATACAGTGAATTATAAGTGAAATAACTGTCTGTAAACAATTGTTGGAAAAATTAAGTGTGTCATGCACAAAGTAGATGTCCTAAACGACTTGCCAAAACTATAGTTTGTTAACAAGAAATGTGTGGAGTGGTTGAAAAACAAGTTTTAATGACTCCAACCTAAGTGTATGTAAACTTCCGACTTCAACTGTATGTATCCACTGAATAAAAGTGGGCCCAAAATGGATCCTTGAGGGACCCCGACAGAGCAGTCAGCGGATGTTGACAGTTTGATTTTTGTGCATTGTTTTATTTTGGTCAGATAGGATTCCATCCATCTGTTTGCGTGAGCTGGAAGGTTGTGGGTTGACAGTCTGGATTGCAACACATTGCGGTTCACTGTGCCGAATGCTTTTTATAAATCCAGAAAAACAGCTCCCACAACTCCACCTTGGTCAAGTTTGGACTTTATTTCCTTGGCAAAGATGGAGAGGAGAGTGACCTGGGTTTAGGTGGGCTATTAGTTGGTTGGCCTCCACCTTTTCTACCACCTTGGATGTGATTGGGAGAATGCTGATTGGCCTATAATTGGCCACATCAGTTTAATCTCCAGCCTTGAAGATTGGTGTTATGACAGCAGATTTCCTGTCGTCAGGGAACACTGCTTCTTTAATTGACAGATTTACCAGATGAGTGACTGGAGTTTTCTTCTGCTGGGCGGAGTCATTTCCATACACATCCTGTGCCTTGGAGTTTTTAATATTTTCATTATCTCCTGCTCAAGCTGAATATTTCTACTGTAGGAGTCAAAAACTCTACCCAGCCATTCCTCCAATACATTCTCATGTCATTCAGTATCCTCACTTTGATAATTAAGTTAATGTGTATGACTTTAAAAAATAGTGACTACATTTTGTTTTAGGTGCACTGCGTTTCAAATGAAAAAGAAACATGGTGTATCTCATGGATAACTTGCATATCTTTGTGATTTTGTAGTGTAGGCACTGTGTACATTTACACTGTGTGTGTGTATGTTTGGTGCATGCCTGCTTCTGTGTGCGGGTGGGCATGCCTGTGTTTGTGCGTCCCTGTGTGTGTCATGCTATGAACTCTAACCATTTGCCTTGCTTGTGAGGAAATTGACTTTACAGAGAAAAAAGCAACTATCACCATCCTGCTTTATTTGAGTCTGTCTTCAGTCACACAGCAGAGCACAGCTGTCCCTCAAGATAACATGTTGACCCCTCTCCTTCTGTCCCATTACAGCCAATCAGATGAGGAGGACAAGGAGGATGAGCATGTGGACAGCAACGACCCAGAGCAGATGTTTCAGAACATCCAGTTTCAGAAGGAGATCATCGCCAACATACGCACCCGAGCCTGGCCCATGAGACGCAAGCTGAAAGCCCTCAAGTAAGGCACATAGATGCACACTGAATACAGTAGACACACATGTACACACCATCACCAACATACACACCCGAGCCCGGCCCATGAGACACAAACTCAACTCTCTGAAGTAAACCATGCACGCACACACACACACACACACACACACACACACACACAGGAAATCCCACACACTGTATTACTTAATGCTGTATTGCTTAATGAAAGTGGTCAAAAAATGTCGCAGTGAATGTCAATGGACTGTGCTGTGTCCACCACCGGAGTACTCAAGCCTGTGTTATGGTATTGTCCATCACCGCGATACTCAAGCCTGTGTTATGGTATTGGAGGTGACAAAAAACATTCCAGCTTTTCATACATTGCAAATTATACACCTCCGCAGAGGAACAGTAGGCCTTTATATTGCATTGTTTTTGTGATTATACAAAATAATCAAATGAATTAGAAAATGGGGCTTACCCAAGAAAAAATGTCCAACAGTTACTACTAACTAATTCATGGTAAAATGTGTAATAGTCATAATACTAATTCAAGGTAACAGGTGTAGGAGCTCAAAATAACCCAGGCAGAGATTAAGGTACAGCATCTTAGAATGCTCCCAAATGGCACCCTATTCCATATATAGGGTCTATAGGGCTCTGGTCAAAAGTAGTGCACTATGTAGGGAATAGGGGGTCATTTGGGACGCAACCTTAGCTTTCATTCCTTAAGATGGACAGGACAGGTATACAAATTGATTTGTCACGACATGCATATGCATTTGACCACAGTATAAGAACCCCCCAAACCCCCATGCATATTCATGTGCATGTTTTTTCCCTCTTAGCAGTTTTTTTTTCTCTCCCTGCAGTCTGTGGTTATCCAAATACATTAACATGTCAGATAGGGGAAACATGTAAACACTAGCTCTTCATTAATAACTGAGAGCTCATAAATGGTGAAAAAGCGCTAACTCTCCGTCGCTAATGTGCGGAGGAGCCATCGGAGTGTAAAGCGTGAGGCGAAGAAAATAATGATTAACATCCTCCCGGGCTCCTCGCTCCCTCGCCACGTTAATGGCTCCTCGCCCCCTCGCCACATGAATGGCTCCTCGCCCCCTCGCCACGTTAATGGCTCCTCGCTCCCTCGCCACGTTAATGGCTCCTCCCACAGAAAATAAACCAAATTAGCAGGGTAATTATTTCATCACCTGTTAGTTCGCCTGGTTCCTCTTTTTACTGGGGTCAGAACCTCCAGTCCCACACACACATTGCTTATACAAACACCACGTGTGTAGACGGACCCCTGATACATTTGAGCTTTTTTCCTGTTCTGGGATTTAGGATGCTATTAAATTCAAATCTGAGTCTGGATGTCTCCTGACAACACAACAGATTAGACATTTGGGCCGAGTCCGGATACCTGTACATTTGTCCTAAATAGTAGCCTTTTTGGGTATGCGAAAATGTTAAGTGTTATAATATGTCAAATTGATCAAATTTAGTATGCTTAAAATGCCAGGATGTCATACTCATGTCGACTTTTCATATAGTATTCTTTCACTGCTCACTATTGAGGAAGATAATTGTATTTTCAGACCCACGTGTGATTGACAACAGCTGATAAGGGGATGGGTTGTAAATGTACCAAAATGAACGAATGGCGAAGACTTCCCATTGAGCACAATCTACATAGAAAATACATTGGATTCGAAACTGTTGTTTTGAGAGTGAAATTTCAACCACAGGATTATGTCATCATGGTAACCAATTTTCAACATAGACAAACCTTGTATAAAATATGTTGAATTTATACCTTTAAAACACTGTCAGATCTTCAATGTTATATCCCCTTTCAGAAAAACAAACAATAGGCTGGGCAGCACCTCCTACTGGAGAATTGATCTATCTACAGCTACACTTTGGTGTCCCATCCAGGATTTTAACCAAGCCCTGCTTAGCTATGATGTCACTGACTAGTACCAATGTGCTATCGTGAGAATGATTGTTGAGAGATCTCCACTTAGATTCACTGTTGATATCAAAGTCATTCCATACTTTATCACTCATATACCATCAATGATGCTATTTAAGCCTACATTGCATTTGCAAAGTCATCAACAGCGATTGCTTAAATTCAACCCAGTATTCAACAGAGAATTACAGTACAACAATAGGCCTAGGGTTTCAAGCGCTGGATGATTTCAAATGTAATGTTGATATTTGGTTGTGTTGACAACCAAAAACAATTCAAAATCACTTTTGAAATACAATAAATAGCCTATTAACTTGTCTACAAGTTAAGAAATTATGTTGGATTCACGTCTTCAACTCAACCAAAAATTAAAGTTAAAGAACGGGATTAAGCCAGTGGCTCAGATGGAACTCTCCAAGCAGTAGATACGTCTACTTTAAATGTTGATATTTGTTTGTGTTGTCAACCAAACACACAGTAAATAGCCTAACCACATATAGCTGTGATTGAGTACAGCCATTTTGAGAGAGAGGTAGAGAGAGAGAGAGAGAGAGGCTAGAAGAGGCATGAAAAGAGAGAGAGAGAGAGAGAGAGAGAGAGAGGAGATAGAGAGAGAGAGAAGAGAGCGATCTAGAGAGATCGATCAGCGCATCCGCTCTCTAGCATCGCGAGCGCTACGCTCGCTCGCTCTCGCTCTCTCGATCTCGCTCTTACTAAGCCTCCCTGTGCTGAGTGGGTTCTAGCTATAACAGGTTTTATATGGGTGGTTTGATATTACTGCTCTAGGCTTTATGACCATCACAGGGATGAGATGCAAGCCTGCGTTTTACGTCCTCAGTAATCTCTGGGTGAATACTGCTGATTACACGCCCTGCAAAAACACCTCATATTTTACACTGCAGATCACTGGTTCCTACCCCCCGTTTTCACCTGCATTGCTTGTTGTGAAATTCCTATCCCTGTTATCTCGATGTCAATTTGATTGTATTGAGAGAAAAAATGAGATTTTTAACAACGGCATACTCTACTTTTTTTCTGTATTAAATGTTTTACTGGTTTGTCAGCTAAGTGGAATCGTAGTTCATCAAATTTCTATCATTTATTGAATTATATATTTATATTTTATATTTACAGTGTATTTTATTGATATACACTACCGGTCAAAAGTTTTAGAACACCTACTCATTCAAGGGTTTTTCTTTATTTTTACTATTTTCTACATTGTAGAATAGTAGTGAAGACATCAAAAATATGAAATAACACATATGGAATCATGTAGTAACCAAAAAAGTGTTAAACAAATCAAAATATATTTTATATTTGAGATTCTTCAAAGTTGCCACCCTTTGCCTTGATGACAGCTTTGCACATGCAAGGGTTTAACCTGCTGCAATTGCTTTTTGTCTGAATTTACATCAATCTCTGGAATCATAATTTGCATTTATTTAAATATGTTTTACTATATCTGATTTAAAATCTGAACCTAGATCAGTGTATTGAATCATATTCACTCTTCCAGTGTGATGTGTGTGTGTTTCTGCTGACTTTAGATCAGAGTTTAAAAGCCATTGTTATCTCCCTGTGTTTGTTCCAGGCAGGCCAGAGAGATTGTCCTGAAGTACGAGGGGAGGCTAACAAGGACCAGAGGATACCAGGCTGCCGGGGCGGATGTGGGTTCACACACACACACACACACACACACACACACACACACACACACACACACACACCTGTTCTGATAAACAACACATACTGCAAGAAGGTTCACACACACACATATTATACAACACATTGACTGTACCACTTAAAATTCATCTTCATGTTCATAGTTTCACTTTGACATTTTTTTACTGCAACACATTTGATTGCATGTGGACAAGGATATAATATTTTGTCAAAGATATGGGGGTTCTAGTAAACAATGGCAAGTATTACATTTCCACATCTCATAGCGTGCTGTGGTTTTCAAACAATGAAACAAACCCTGCTGTGCCAATAATGTTTCACAAACTCATTGAAACTCTAATTTCAACACAGATATGAAGATGTTAACACTTTTAGGCATATAAATGCGTCATGCTACTTTTCACATATGATTTCATTGAAAATTAGCTAAGAGAATTAGACTCCTATTTCTCCACTGCAGTGCAGCTATCTGATGCCTTCAGCCTGATTTTTACTGTGTCCATTCCCTCTATTCTCTAGGCTGAGTTATACACTTAACATTGCCTTTCTGTTCTCACTGTGTTTACGAGACAGCGAGGTTAGAGCTCTACACTGCTCCCTCTGCCTGTAGGCTTCTCTCTGTACACACACACACACACACACACACACACACACACACACACACACACACACACACACACACACACACACACACACACACATACACACAAACACACACACACATATATAGACGCGCACACACACACACACACATATAGACGCGCACACACACACACACACATATAGACGTACACACACAAACATATAGACGCGCACACACACACACACACACACACACACATATAGACGTACACACACACACAGCCTCAGCAAACCGCAGCCAAGCAAATTTATAGCCTGTTGTTATGGTTCGGTTTAATTAAAATGTTCCGAAGGCATTGGGCCAGCCTACCCAAGAACCATTAAAATTAATTGACTTTTAGCAAGTAGATTGATGATGAATAATTAATTATATATACATATTGGCTTCTGCTTAATTACAATTTAGAAATCACATCCATGTGTTCAACGAGTGGACTTATGTGTATATGAATAATAATATCTTGACTTTTGAATTAAGTACCCCTCTGTATATCATGAAATGAATTAAATACAATATGCATGTATGGTACAGTAGGATCTGTACATTTGATGTTACGTGATGGGACTTGACTGGTGTTGCTTTGTATGTGTAGATAACTGAATCAACAGATCTTCTCTGAGTAAATTAAGCAAAGAGTTTAACCTCTTCCTCCTTCTTAAACACAAATATACACACACACGCACGCGCGCTTGCGCGCACGCACACACACACGCGCACACACCCTGAAAATAATTTACTGTTTAAGTCCAATGGTATGGGCATCTGAAATAAGACATGATAATAACAGTAAATCAATCAATCAAAAAAGGCTCGCACACAATTATATATATATATATATATATATATATATATATATATATATACTGCTCAAAAAAATAAAGGGAACACTTAAACAACACAATGTAACTCCAAGTCAATCACACTTCTATGAAATCAAACTGTCCACTTAGGAGGCAACACTGATTGACAACACATTTCACATGCTGTTGTGCAAATGGAATAGACAACAGGTGGAAATTATAGGCAAATAGCAAGACACCCCCAATAAAGGACTGGTTTTGCAGGTGGTGACCACAGACCACTTCTCAGTTCCTATGCTTCCTGGCTGATGTTTTGGTCACTTTTGAATGCTGGCAGTGCTTTCACTCTAGTGGTAGCATGAGACGGAGTCTACAACCCACACAAGTGCCTCAGGTAGTGCAGCTCATCCAGGATGGCACATCAATGCGAGCTGTGGCAAGAAGGTTTGCTGTGTCTGTCAGCGTAGTGTCCAGAGCATGGAGGCGCTACCAGGAGACAGGCCAGTACATCAGGAGACGTGGAGGAGGCCGTAGGAGGGCAACAACCCAGCAGCAGGACTGCTACCTCCGCCTTTGTGCAAGGAGGAGCAGGAGGAGCACTGCCAGAGCCCTGCAAAATGACCTCCAGCAGGCCACAAATGTGCATGTGTCTGCTCAAACGGTCAGAAACAGACTCCATGAGGGTGGTATGAGGGCCTGACGTCCACAGGTGGGGGTTGTGCTTACAGCCCAACACCGTGCAGGACGTTTGGCATTTGCCAGAGAACACCAAGCTTGGCAAATTCGCCACTGGCGCCCTGTGCTCTTCACAGATGAAAGCAGGTTCACACTGAGCACATGTGACAGACGTGACAGAGTCTGGAGACGGCGTGGAGAACGTTCTGCTGCCTGCAACATCCTCCAGCATGACCGGTTTGGCGGTGGGTCAGTCATGGTGTGGGGTGGCATTTCTTTGGGGGGCCGCACAGCCCTCCATGTGCTCGCCAGAGGTAGCCTGACTGCCATTAGGTACCGAGATGAGATCCTCAGACCCCTTGTGAGACCATATGCTGGTGCGATTGGCCCTGGGTTCCTCCTAATGCAAGACAATGCTAGACCTCATGTGGCTGGAGTGTGTCAGCAGTTCCTGCAAGAGGAAGGCATTGATGCTATGGACTGGCCCGCCCGTTCCCCAGACCTGAATCCAATCTGGGACATCATGTCTCGCTCCATCCACCAACGCCACGTTGCACCACAGACTGTTCAGGAGTTGGCGGATGCTTTAGTCCAGTTCTGGGAGGAGATCCCTCAGGAGACCATCCGCCACCTCATCAGGAGCATGCCCAGGCATTGTAGGGAGGTCATACAGGCACGTGGAGGCCACACACACTACTGAGCCTCATTTTGACTTGTTTTAAGGACATTACATCAAAGTTGGATCAGCCTGTAGTGTGGTTTTCCACTTTAATTTTGAGGGTGACTCCAAATCCAGACCTCCATGGGTTGATAAATTTGATTTCCATTGATAATTTTTGTGTGATTTTGTTGTCAGCACGTTCAACTATGTAAAGAAAAAAGTATTTAATAAGATTATTTCATTCATTCAGATCTAGGATGTGATATTTTAGTGTTCCCTTTATTTTTTTGAGCAGTGTATATATACACACACACACACACACACACACACACACACAAACAAACAAACAAACAAACACTAATACAAAATGGTCATCATATTTTCAGCTGCTGAAGAAGGTCTCCAGGTTGCTGTACAACATTGTGGTTCTGTTCATTCCCTGGGAGATGAGGATCAAGAAAATAGAAAGTAACAACTTTTAATGATCTCTTTTATTACTTACTTGAACATGTAAGATATTGACTATATTACAGTAACATTTTATTTCATTTCCTTTTACTGTAATGTGTATTTGATTGTAAAGCGTATTGGCACACTGTCGCCACACACAAACTTCCACACTTCCACACTCATCGCAGACGCTGCTGCTACAGTCTATTGTCTATCCTGTTGCCTAGTCACTTTATCCCTACCTATATGTACATATCTATACCCTGTGTATATAGCCAAGCTGTCATTGCTCATTGGGTATTTATTCCTCGTGTTACAATTGTTTTTCTATTATAATTAGTTTATTTTCGTATTGTATTCTGCATTGTTGGGAAGGGCCCGTAAGTAAGCAGTTCACTGTTAGTCTACACCTGTTGTTTACGAAGCATGTGACAATTACAATTTTATTTTATTTAGATTTTCCCCTAGTACAGATCCAGGATCAGCTTCCCCTCCCCCAATCCTTAACTTAACCAATAGTGGTGAAAATGCAAAACTGACCCAAGATCAATGTCTAGGGGAAACTTCACCCTACACCCCTGTCTCTGTATCCCTCTTAGGTCACTTTGGGTCAGGGGTGGCCTCGTACTTCATCTTCCTCCGATGGCTGTTTGGTATCAACATAGTCCTTACCATCATGACTGGAGCATTCATAGTCATACCTGAGGTAACCGTGTGTGTGTGTGTGTGTGTGTGTGTGTGTGTGTGTGTGTGTGTGTGTGTGTGTGTGTGTGTGTGTGTGTGTGTGTGTGTGTGTGTGTGTGTGTGTGTGTGTGTGTGTGTGTGTGTGTGTGTGTGTGTCTTCCTTATGTCCGAGGGCAATCAGTGCTCTATCTTGGTCAGGTCGTTATTGTAAAATAATGTGTTCTCAATGACTTACCTGGATAAATAAGGGAACAATTAAACAATAGAAGAACAGGTGAAGTGTTTGTACCATAGATGTGTGTATTATGAGTAAAAAATTAAGTTATTAGTGAAAGGATGTCAACTGAATTCTGAATAAAACAAAACTTAAAAATAGCAATAGAGAATTTCAATTTTATTTAATACGATTTGACTGCTCCAAACGTAGACTGTAGCTGAATGTCACTATGGTGAATTGTATGCAGAGGATACTAGAGAGGACCTAACAGATATCGTAAATTCCGGTATGTGCTTGCAAAGTATGACAATAAAAATCAGCACTTTTGGTGCCAGCCGTCACAAATAAGCGTAGAGGGCATTGTTTTTGGTCTAGGTATGGCGGGAAAAGCAGGGCTGATTTATTTAGCCGGCTGACATGCAGACACAGGCAATTTCCCCAGACATCAGCTGGCGCATCACTCACTCCCAATCTCCTGCATTTAGTCCCTCTTTCCTTCCATTCATTCTCCAACCAACCTTTTCCCTCCTTCATTCACCCCAACCTCACAGATTGGACTTTTCCTTTGTAAACTGGAGTTTTCAGTTTTCAGAGATAAGTTGACTTTAGTCTGGATTCAATCCGATCGCAGGTTGCAGACAATGCGGCTTTTAGCTTGGATGGGACAATACAACATTTTACCGTCATGGTGAAGCTGAATGGTTTATGTACTATAATTCAGTCAATATAGATTTATTTTTTTTAAGCATTGAGTATCTGACTCCATTTCCCACCTGTTATTTATCAGAACTTACCGTTTCTACTTGATACATATAGACCGACCAATGTTATGGTTGGTTGGAGATCATTGTAGATTATGATTGGAGGAAAATCAGAAAATACAAAATAAAGGGAAAATATTGTTGTGTTTGAGGCAGTGGGTAGTTAAAGTGTCCGTGTGTGTGTGTGTGCAAATTCAATGGTAAACATTTTCCCTTCCTAATCCATTTGCCCCCACTCCTCCCCACAAAACGGTATGTACTATATCTCCATATCTTTGATTGCATTGGCATAATAATCCATCTGTTTGTCTGTTTTTCCATATCTTCCCTCAGCTCCTGGCCGGAGAGCCGTTTGGAACGACCCGGAGTAAGACCATTCCCAAGGAGCACCTGGCCTCAGCCCAGGATCTGGACACCATCTGGTCTCTCGGGGCAAGGCAGTTTTATCTCTTAATGTTCCCTTAATATCACTGTTAAATTACATCCATTTTGTTGTGTAGTCCGATTCAACTAAGCAATATTTCAACCACTCCTTGTACTATGAGTGATGTTTATGTAGCCAGCCTTCTTCTCAGCATGACATGAAGTACGGAGGCCCCCGAGGATCAACAGAATTGAATCAGGATTTGTTTAAACATTATATATATATATATATATATATATATATATATATATATATATATATATATTAGTGTTCCATGATTGCCACTATGGTCAGAGAGAGGACTCAGCACTGAATGTGCCAGTAATGCCCCAAAAGCGTGTCTTGGTTTTATTTGTTGTAGGCTTTCAGTTTCACCATGTTTTAAAGACACAAGCCACAACTTATTTTGGTTCCCAGGTAATTTCTTGTGTTTGTTTTGGTCCACAGGGCTATCTCCAGTACTCTGTGTTGTTCTATGGGTACTACAGCCCGGTGAGGAAGATCGGCAGTGCCGGCTATCGCCTCCCCCTGGCCTACTTTCTGGTTGGGATGGCTGTTTTTGCCTACAGTTTCATCATTCTGTTAAGAAAGTAAATCACTAGAGTCTCTTTTAATAAAGCTCATTTATGTGGATTGATATTGATGTTAAAATGAAAGTGAAGTAATATTGAGAGGAATGTATTACCAAAGGAGACCATTGATGGGGCTACTGTAGCTAATAGCTACTACTAATGCCAAATATTATATTTTTTAAGGTAGACTGAGTGACGGAGATACACAAAGTAAAAAGCATAGTGGTTATTACATTGTAATAGCATGAAGGGAACCCCTGCACATGCACAGATACTGTGTGGGACTGTGTGAGAGCGAAGTCTTGCATCTCGCTCATCTCAATTTCTGCGGCACTGCTCGTGGCATTTCGCTGAGTCTGCCTTTAACATGACTTCAAATTGTATTATTTTTCCATGGTCTGTCTGACTAACCATTGTAGTGATTATATTTGAACTGTTTCTGTATTATCTATAAAGGTGTTTGAAAACTGTTCTATCGCCAGTTTAACCTCTTATTAGGAACACAATGATGTGTCGCTAATTGATGCCATTTTGTATTATTTATTTACATTTTCCCTCAGGATGGCTAAGAACTCCCGTCTAAGCCTGGCCAGTGCCTCTGACGAGAACTTCACCTTCTGCTGGAGAGTGTTCTGTGCCTGGGACTACCTCATAGGGAATCCTGAAGCTGCAGAGAGCAAGGGAGCCGCTATCGTCAACAACATCAGGGTGAGAGAGACACAGGTCATGGTGCAAGACTCAGGGACACATTTCTGTAGTGGAAAATAATTTTGCATTAGTGCAAAACATCTGTAAACCTCATCATCTTGCAGTGATTTAATTTGAAAATAATTATTCAACGTTACAATGTAAACTGAGAAATACGTAAATAGTTGCCTCTTTATAATGCACATTGTTGAGGTAGTTTCAAATGTAAAAATGAGTATACAACTCATCATAATGTGTTACATGTAATGAAGTCAAAACTGAGGAGTGGGGCAGTATTTTTTTGCACTACGAAAATGTTGCCCTCAATAGTCTAAACGGACCTCCTCTGCTCATCTCCTGTCCGTCATCAGCATTGATCTGAAAGAACTGGACTAGTGGAGCAGATTCACACTAGTCAGTAAAGTAAAGTAAATTAGGTGATTGGTGTGAATGAGCTTCACTTATCCAGTTCTTCCAGATCAGAGCAGATGAAGGACCATAGATGAGCAGAGGAGGTCTGTTTAGACTATTGAGGGCGACATTTTTGTAGTGCAAAAATAATAGTGCAAAGTGCAAAAATGACTATACAACTCATTATATTCTGGCAGCGTAATTACATTTTAAACTTTACCTCGATCTACCACTTTGCTTTCACTTATCCTGTGTTTTCAGATCATCACAAATGATGGAGAGGAGATGGGAAGAGGAAGCCATGTAACACATTTGAGGTGCACGCTCAATCATCTTACCAGGTTTCCTTTCCTCGTCTCCTCTCCTTCATCTGCACTGAGCCATTGAGAAACACTGCACCACTCCACTCCTCAGATTTGATTTCCAACGATCCCGACTTCTTTAATTCACTCACAGCACTCTGTAGAGTAGAAGTAAATGTACCATTGTATTACTGCTGATTTCCCTGAGGGATGATCTATAATCTGTATTCTACCTCTAAACAAGAGAGCCCTTTAACCTGCCTGTTGAGTTTCCCTGTACAGTCAGCAAAATATACATTATATTCCTCTGTTTCAATAAGCTCAGTTTAAATCCCTATATGCTTGATTCAATACAGCGTTTTTGATTTATTTATTCTTATTTTACCTGTATTTTACCAAGTTTTGTCTCATCAAGATTTACAATTTAATGTTCTACAGTTAACTGGACAAAATTGCAGCAAAGATGTAGTTACACAAGATGGATGACATGAATAAATGCTAATTCTTTGCCCCTTTTTCTAGGAGGCCATTGTTGAGGAACAGGAGAAAAAGAAGGATACTAGTCTGTAAGTATGTTTATTCTCTTGTCCATGTAGAGGGTGGCTAAGTTAGCATCACACATTGATATTGCTTTCCTGTGAGTTGCTGTCACCCTGGACCCATTAATGGACCCTTAGCTTTTGTGCGTCAGTGGTGTTATCCTTTGCAAAGTATCTTGTGTCATTCTGACATTGGTAGAATCCAGGACCATACCACATTCATTGATGATGCTCTTTGGTTTAGGGGTCTAGTGTGGGAGGAGGGTCTTCCTGGAGTCTTCCTACGGGGAGTGGGATCTTCCTGGGGTCTTCCTGCGGGGAGGGGGGTCTTCCTGGGGTCTTCCTGAGGCATACATCTACACATCTACATTTTGTTGTTTCTCTGAGTGGAGCAGATGTCATTTGCTGTGTATGTCAGGTATGTCCCAGGCATGGGATGGCGATACCAGGAGACAGGCCAGTACATCAGGCGAAGTGGAGGAGGCAGTTTCGGAGGGCACCAACCCAGCAGCAGGACTGCTACCTCCGCCCTTTGTGCAAGGAGGGAGGAGCAGGAGGAGCATGCCGAGCCCTGAACTGCACCTCCAGCAGGCCACAAATGTGCATGTGTATGCTCAAACGGTCAGAAGAAACAGACCCTATGAGGGTGGATGAGGGCCTGAGTCCACAGGGGGGGGTGTGTTACAGCCCAACACCTGTGCAGGAACGGTTTGGCATTTGCACCAGAGAACACCAAGATTGGCAAATTCGCCACTGGCGCCCTGTGAAGTGCTATTCACAGATGAAAGCAGTTCACAATGAGCAAAGTGGACAGACGTACAGAGTCTGGAGAAGCCGTGGAGAACGTTTATGCTATGCCTGCAACATCCTCCAGCACATGACCGGTTGGTGGGGGGTCAGTCATGGTGTGGGGTGGCCATTTCTTTGGGGGGGCGCAAAGCCCTCCATTGCTCGCAGAGGTAGCCTGACGCCATTAGGTACCGAGATGAGATCCTCAGACCCCTTGGTGAGACCAATGCTGGTGCGGTGGCCCGGGATCCTCCTAATGCAAGACAATGCTAGAACCTCATGTGGCTGGAGTGTTGTCAGCAGTTTCCTGATAAGAGGAAGGCATTGATGCTATGGAATGGCCTGCCCGTCCCCAGACCTGAATCCAATATGGGACATTCATGTCGCGCTCAATCCCCAACGACCACGTTGCACCACAGCTGTCCGAGGTTGGCGGATGCTTTGTCCAGGTCTGGGAGGAGATTCCATCAGGAGACCATCCGGCCACCTCTCAGGAGCATGCCAAGGCATTGTAGGGAGGTTCATACAGGAACGGGAGGCCACACACAAACTACTGAGCTCATTTTGAATTGTTTTAAGGACATTACATCAAAGTTGGATCAGCCTTGTAGTGTGTGTTGGTTTTCCACTTGTAATTTTGAGGGTGACTCAAATCCAGACCCCATGGGTTGATAAATTTGATTTCCATGATAATTTTGGTGTGATTTTGTTGTCAGCACATCAACTATGTAAAGAAAAAAGTATTTTAATAAGAGTATTCATTCATTAGATCTAGGACTTGATATTTAGTTCCCTTTATTTTTTTGAAGCAGTGGATAGATACACACCACACACAAACCAAACAAACAAACAAAAACACTAATACAAAATGGTATATATTTTCAGTGCTGAAGAAGGTCTCAGGTTGCTGTACAACCTGTTGGTTCTGTCAGTCCCTGGGGAGATGAGGATCAAGAAAATAGAAAAGGAACAACTTTTAAGATCTCTTTTATTACTTACTGAAACATGTAAGAATGACTATATTACAGTAACATTTTATTTCATTTCCTTTTACTGTAATGTGTATCTGATGTAAAGCGATTGGGCACCTGTCGCCACAACAAACTTCCACATTACACACTCATCGAAGACGCGGCTGCTACAGTCTATTGTTATCCTGTTGCCTAGTAAATTTATCCCACCTATATGTACCGATCTTACATGTGTTATATAGCAAGCTGTCATTGCTCATTGGTGTATTTATTCCTCGTGTTACAATCGTTTTTATTATAATTAGTTATTTTCGTATTGTATTCTGCATGTTGGGAAGGGCCGTAAGTAAGCCAGTTTAACTGTTAGTCTACAAATGTTGTTTACGAAGCATTGACAATTACAATGTATTTTATTTTGATTTTATTGAACATAAAAAAAATCAAATAAAATTCAGTTGGTTTGAAGATGGTTTGTGTTATCTGTTTACGTATCTGGGGTGAAGTTTCCCCTAGTAAAGATCCAGGATCAGCTCCCCTCCCCCAATCTATTAAATTAAACATTTAGTTGGTGAAAATGGATAAAACTGAAAAAGATCAATGTCTAGGGGAAAATACAACCTAAACACTGTCTCTGGATAAATCTTAGGTAAATTTGGGAAAGGGGTGGAAT